AAATAGATAAATGAGCAGAAAAACATTAATTCTTTTCTGTCTTCACTGCATAGCAAAATTAAGATTTTACTTCCCCCTGAGGTAAAGTGGAAAAAAACCTCATTTGTTCCATATTCTGCACTATTCAGTATATTGCCATTAAGCTGATGTGCTTTTATATTACCTAACCCTTATTATTGTCTTGAATCTCTCCTGACTTCATGTGAATTTCAGTATGTTTCCCTTTTGTATCGAAAGCCCTTAAGACTTCTCCCCAAGTTCAATATTTTAAAAATTGGAATATAGTTGATTTTTGACTTACAAAGTTGTGTTAGTTTCAATTGTATAGTGATTCAGTTATACATACATATGAGACATATATACACTTTTTTAGATTCTTTACCATTATAGGTTATTATAAGATATTAAATAGTTTCCTGTGCTATACAGTAGGTCCTTGTTTATTTTATATATAACATATATTATTATATATATAATACTGTTAATCTCAAACTCCTAATTTATCCCTGTCCCCCTTCCCTCAATTTTCCCTTTGGTAATCTTAAGTTTGTTTTCTATGTCTGTGGGCCTTTTTCATAAATAAGTTGATTTGCACCATTTAAAAAAATTTTAATTGGAGGATAATTGCTTTTCAATATTGTGTGAAGGTTCACTGTACAAAGATTTTCACATATAAGCAATATCATATGATATTTGTCCTTGTCTGACTTACTTCACTTCATATGATAATCTCTAGGTTAATCTATATTGCTACAAAGCATTATTTTTTATGGCTAATATTATGAGTAACAACTGAGGAACATTTAGATAGCTTCCATGTCTTGGCTATTGTAAACAGTGGTGCTATGAACACTGGGGTGCATTTATCTTTTTAAATTAGTTTTCCCCAAATATATGTCCAGGAGTGGGACTGCTGGATCATGGGGTACCTCTATTTTTGGTTTTTAGGGAACCTCTATACAGTTCTCCACAGTGGGTACACCAATTTACATTACCACCAACAGTGTAGGAGGGTTCCCATTTCTCCACACCCTCTCCAACACTTACTATTTATAGACATTTTGATGATGGCCATTCTGACTGGTGTGGGGTGATACCTCACTGTAGTTTTGATTTGCATCTCTCTAATAATTAGCAATACTGAGCATCTTTTCATGTGCCTATAGACCATCTGTATGTCTTCTTTGGAGAGATGTTTATTCAGATCTTCTGCCCATTTTCTGATTGTGTTGTTTGGCTTTTTGATATTAAGCTGTATGAGCTGTTTGTATATTTTGGAAATTAATCCCTTGTCGGTCACATCATTGGCAAATATATTCTCCCATTCCATCCGTTGTCTTTTCATTTTGTTTATGGTCTCCTTTGCTGTGCAAAGCTGTGCAAAAGCTTTTAAGTTTAATTAGGTCTCAGTTTTTATTTTTGTTTTTATTTCCATTACTCAAAGAGATGGATCTAAAAAAATATTCGTGCAATTCATGTCACGGAGTGTTCTGCCTATGTTTTCCTCTAGGAATTTTAGAGTATCCAGTCCCCTTAAGGGTGCTTTCAGCATATTTTTGCCCCAAGGTGAGGCTTGGTTTCCTTCTTGCAGCTGTCCTTTGCTCACCTACCAGGTTTTCATTTATCACCTAGAAACTAATATCTAGAGTGTCTACCATGTATTCAGTCCTATGTTATGTATGTGGCACTGTCCACAAAGGAATCCCCAGTGAGAAGGGTTGTTACTAACCTGGGCAACCTTCCAAACACAGTCTTCTCTTGACTTAAAGATCATGAGTAAATGTCTCAGTCCCTTACATAACGTCTGCTTCTCTGCCAGCAAGGACATGATATGGCGAATTCTCCATTGCATCACATTTCTAAATACAACGATATGTCCAGTTCAACAGATCCTCTCCAGATCTTTCAGCTTATAGCAAATAAAGGAGGTAGAGGAACCTGCCAAATGGCCTCATGGAGACAATCTAAAGGAAACCCTGAAGGTGGCACATCTCTTCAAAAAGTCACTGTACCAGATTAAAAGAAACTAGTGGGGACAAAACATCCAAGTGCAATGTGATGTGCTGGATTGGACACTGGGTCAGATAAACTACAGTAATGGACTTGTTTAGATCATCTAGGGAAACCTGCATATGATCTGGCTATTAGACTAGATGCAAATGTACTGAAAAAGTAGAGATCAGTGACAAAACTGAGCAGACTGTAAAAGAGTGAGTACAGCTTTTGGTTAAAAATTATATGTTTATTTATGCATTTATTTTTATTGAAGTATAGATGCTATTATGTAGTATTTTTAAAAAGCAAGCTGAAATAACATATTTGGCATGTGATGATATGATACTGTATTAAAATAATAACTGCAATGTTTCCTTTGAAAGCTAAGACAGTAAAGAGATAAATCCGTAAAAATAAAAAAATAAAAAAAAAGCAATTCAACATTTTAACCCTTCTGCACAATGCATGGACCTTAAATCACACTGACTCCAGTAACTGCTTTAAAAATTATATGTTTATTTATGCATTTATTTTTATTGAAGTATAGATGCTATTATGTAGTATTTTTAAAAAGCAAGCTGATACATTGACCTGAATCAGCCATGGGTAAGAAAAAAACAATTAAAAAAATAAAAAGCTGAAAAATGTGTTCTAAGGTGTAACCACTAGTGATTAGTTGAGTGGTGGGAATATGATATTTAAATACATTTTTTTGTTTGCTTACATTTTCTAATTTTCTACAATGACTCCATATGGCTATAATTACAAAAGGTTATTTAATGGTTGAGGTTTTTAAAAAACTTTATTTTGTATTGAGATACAGTGCTTTTGAACTGTGGTGTTGGGAAAGGTTCTTGAGAGTTCCTTGGACTGCAAGGAGATCCAACCAGTCAGTCCTAAAGCAAATCAACCCTGAATATTCATTGGAAGGACTAATGACGAAGCTGAAGAGCCAATACTTTGGCCACCTGATGCGAAGAGCCAACTCATTAGAAAAGACCCTGATGCTGGGAAAGATTGAAGGTGTGAGGAGAAGGGGACAACAGAGGATGAGATGGTTGGATGGCATCACAGACTCAATGGACATGAGTTTGAGCAAGCTCTGGGAGATGGCGAGGGACAGGGAAACCTGGGGTGCTGCAGTCCATGGGGTCACAAAGAGTCGGACATGACTGAGCAACTGAACAACAGCAAAACTGGGGTCCAGCTGATTAACAATACCATGACAGTTTCAGATGAACAGGGAAGTGACTCAGCCACACTCCCCCAAACTCCCCTCTCATCCAGGCTGCTACGTAACACTGAGCAGAGTTCCATGTGCTACACAGCAGGTACCTGCTGATTATGCATTTTAAACATAGCAGTGTGTATATGCCCAGCCCAAACCTATCATTCTCCATGCCCCCACCCCCAAAACTGCAAGTTCAATTTCTAAGTCTGTGAGTCTGTCTTATGAGTTCATTTGTATCATTTCTTTCTAGATTCCACATATAAGGGATCTCATACAGTATTTCTCCTCTGACTTACTTCACTCAGTATGACACTCTTTAGGTCCATCCATGTTGCTGCAAATGATATTATTTTATTCTACTTAATGGATGAGTAATATTACATTGCATGTATGTATAAAGGGTTTTTTTTTTAAAATGACTCATTTTCTCCCAGAAGACTCATCTCAGAAAGTTCACACCCACTGATTACATCGTGGCTCTCTCAGATTTAAGTACATTCTACTGCACAGTTAATGCTAAACTATCATACTCAATTCAAATTCTCTGGTGGATTTTTTGTCTGAGGCCCTTGTTCCTGCTCTTCACCTTCACTGAAATCACACCCAGCAGATTATTTATTCCTTTAGTGAGTATAACACCTGTGTGATCAGCAGATCCGTGCTGCCAACCTGGTCGATGATACAAACAGGAAGAATGAATGTGAAAATCTCATAGACTCTCATTAGAATAAGGCTTATAGCACACCCCTTTGTACATACATAAACATATTTTACCCAAAACACAATAGCCATGCTATTAAAAAAATGCTGTTCAATACCATAATTAACTTACTAACTTATAAGACTATTTATCCTGTTCCTCAATATTACTAGGCTATTTTACATACATTCCAGTCACATAATTCTAATGTACACTTTAGAATTTAGAAACTAAAGTCTTTTCAAAACACATGCTAACCTCAGGAAACACAGGTTTGTGAGAAAACCAGAAAAGCACATACATCTTTATATATTTGTATCTAATGTGACTTTGAAGGTGTTCCGCTTAAAACATCCCCAAAGTTATGGGTACTGAGAAACTGTAGCTATTTTATCTCAGTTTCAGAACAGACTGATAAGTAGGAAACCCCAAGAGGACATGCAAATAGATGTTTACATTAATGAATTCTTTAGAAAGCATGCTTCATCAGAGAACTTTAAAGTGAGCACAGCGACTCCAATTCAAAGCCCTCTCCAGACAATGGTTAAGTAATTAATTTACTAAAAAGGCATTAAAATGAAGCAGTACAGATAATTCATTCCCAGCTTTCTGCCTCAGATCCTGAACCAATGATTTGGCACCAAGAAACCAGAAACACTCTGCCTTATATAAAAACGGGACAGTCAATAGAGATTCAAGCACTGAATTATGGGCAGAGATTTTTTCATTCTCCTTAAAAATTCACTTCAATGCTTGTTTTAAAGTTTCACTCACATAAATCCATTAATCTCCCAAACTGCCCTATGAAGTCAAAAGAGCATACTCTAACTCTGCATACAAAATACTTCCAGAATGAGCTTATAAATCACTCATGTTTTCCGCCACATGAACAGAGAACTACAACCTGCCTCTCCCCAACAGAGAAACAAGAAAATTCCATATAAAGGTTGATTTTAAATAATCTCCTGTAAATATTTGAAGACTGAAAACATTTTTCCTACCCTGTTAAAAAGATACCTTTGAAAAATAAACGTGGCAGATACGAGGTTGCTATAAATTCTGAAAATGGCTTACCTATTAATGTAACTGAGGGCAACATAGGTTGGCTGCTGTAATTCTTGTTTTTCTAAAACACGTGGATCTGTATCTGAAATAAAAACACAATTACGATTTTTCAGCTTTCGCATCAGAATATATGAGGCTACCTAACCTAACATAACAGAGGCTAAATGAAGAAAAAGATTAATTTAGTAGACTACTTTTTAAAGAAACCTCAGTCAGCAAAACATAATCATTTGTTCATTCATTCATAAATAACAAGATATTGCATTACTTTTCAAGAGAATTCCAAACATCAACAGTGATAAAATGTCCATCTGTCACACAAACTCCTGCACAATCCCCCTCATAAATATTGGTTTTCACTGCTTACAGTTACAATGTTGGCATGGTTTTTGGCGGTTAATCGGCCTAAGAAAGAAAGTCTCTGTTAATTATGCTCACTTCAATGCTGGAACAAATTAGTTGCCGTTGGAGAGCTCCATCAATTTGAAAATCTACTGAGTATTGTTCATATTCCCTGAACACTTTTCTAGGTTTGGGTTCACATTCTAGAGGACAACGCTTCTCCTTCTTAATTGTATAATGAGTTTATTATAACTTTTCTAGACTCTTGATCAGAAATTTTCATGCTGGTTCAGAATCCACAAACATCACATTCATCAGAGGGTTTTTTTCCTCCTTGAAGAGACAGAATTCAAAACCATAGCAACCTTCTCTAACGATGTTTCTCCAACACAACATAAAAATGCACTTTTACAACTATAAATATATTCTCAGGTTTCTCATGTAAAGAACTGATTGAGCTAAATATACACAAAAACAGTGTTTCTATAGTAAAACTATAAAGAAACTGAACACATTTTTGTTTTCTTAGAAAAACGTTCAGACATTTCACACAGATTTCTTTTCATTACAACCTCACTTAAAACCATCTCATTATTAGAACTCTTCCAGCTGCATTCAGCAATAACACCTTCTTTGATGTAATGACAGATGCCATTTCCAGCACCTTTGTACAGAAAGTGTTTACTGCACGTGGTGGCTGTAAGATACACATGCTAACTTCAAAGTGTGGTAACAGGTGATGGGGGTAGAGGATGCAGACACAGTGGCATAGAGCAAGGGTGGCAAAAATGACAGCATAAAAATCAATTTACAAATGCTTTCCACTCCCAGACTAAAACCAGACAGTAGTGGCAATTTTATTCTTGGTGTTAAAGTTAAGAATCTCATGTTCACTTTATTGTTTTTCCTATGCCAAGAAATTTCAGAGACACACTATTCAGAAATCCTGCTTCCTGGGTCTCTGCCACGGCAAGTCCATGAAAGCCAAATTCCGAAACAAGAGACAAAGGTTCTCTGAATGGCTCCATCAAGTCGGGTCTCGAGGTTTTTGGCAGTGCAAGTGAGAACAGATCAGTAATTCAGCATTTCCTCTGCCTCCTACAATGATGACATATGCAACTGAGGCTGTCCCCACATCACTGGGCCTACAGAAATACTGTCTTACGAGCTTATTCCACCATCTTCTAAAACCCTAGGCTAGATGTATGCTCACATAGCCTCAAATTATGAGTGGTGAAAAAAAAGGACATCCAGAAGCTTCCAAATACCTCTGCATAACAACAACAACAACAACACTATCTGCAAGCACCTCAGGCAGGATTCTCCTGTTTTCCTGGAATGCAGACTCCGTAACCAACAAGGAAGTAGAACCTCCGGACAGATGTCCACCAGGCCTGAGCCATCTTTCTCAGGTTAATGTCTCCCTAGGCAATCTGCAGGACATCCATGAAATCTTCACGTTCTTAAAACGAAATTAGGTACCTGGTACCCACAGTCAGTAGAAGTCTGCATGCATGCCACTGGAGGAAAAGCATCAGGGGCCAGTCAAGAATAAACATCAGCTCCTTCACCCGCTTCCTGGCTCACTGGTGCGTGGTGATCATGACTCACCATTTTATGGATTTAATTACACCAGGGAGCCTTCCACATTCAGTAAAAGTATAATAGCTGCCTTCTTTATTTCTCCCTCCCTGACAGAAAAGGAACTGCCTAATGCTGAAAACTCTCCACAGGAGGGTTAGAGTGACAAGGATATAGGGTGTTCACAGCAGGNGGGAGCCTTCCACATTCAGTAAAAGTATAATAGCTGCCTTCATTATTTCTCCCTCCCTGACAGAAAAGGAACTGCCTAATGCTGAAAACTCTCCACAGGAGGGTTAGAGTGACAAGGATATAGGGTGTTCACAGCAGGCTGACGATGTCCTTCTCCCAAAGACAGGACGTCATTTAGCAGAATGACCTGGAGAAGAGTAACTCTAGCCACTGGAGATGATGACTGACTATACCAAGAACATCCTTTATGTGCCACACTGATAAGACTTTTTTTTTGCATAAGTTGCTACAACAAGAAATGTGACACGAACTGCAGTGGCTACAGTACCCAGTTCTCCCGGATATTTCTCTGGCTTATGGTACCAATGAAAATGTCAACCTTGAACACTGGCTGTCACTGCCCAGAGGTAAAGTCCACCTCAGTAAATGGCCTGTGGGCTAGGAATACTTGAGAATTTTTCATGGCTACACAAGAAACCACTAAGAGATGACTTTTTTGTCTCACATCATCCCAGCACAGTCACAGATTTCAAGCAGACTGAAGACTAAGAGAATGCAAATATGAAAATGTATTTTAAAATACCCAAGTGATGAAAACCTAACGACTTACTTCAAAGTCTCTAAGACACAGTATCCTCTGAAGTGGATGGCAATGTGCCTCCTGTACCATTCCTCTGTCGGGGTAACAGCTTGAACACACTGCTCCACAAAGTGGAGCCTGCTGTAGCTCATGCGACCTACTGTCCTGTGGCTTTACAGATGCAATTAAATGCCAAAAGCCGGATGTCACAGCACCACCTCCCATGACTTCTCAAGCGGTGGAGAGAAAAACCAGGCAGACAGCTGGAATAAGGAAAGGACAACCTTCAGACCCTTCTGGATAAACCTAGAGTCCCACATGATGGAAGAAGGGCCAAGAGCACACCCTGCTCAACGGTGGAGGCACATGTTCATCATGGCTGTCCCTGGTGTTGGGAACCATGGTGACTGACTGCCTGGATCTGGGGCCCCTGTTGAGTCTTTGGTAGCTTTACCTTCAAACTTCAGGAAAACTCAAAGTTGTTTCATGAGTTAGCAGAGGCTAACTGATGAGGTCAAGGGCTTTGGCTGTGCTTCAGCTAGTCTGCATTGCTGGGATTTTTATATGCCTCTGGAATTATTTCCAACGTAAGAAAGTAAAAACCCAGCTATAATGTGTCTCAGCAAGACTAACGAAGCCTCTCTCAGCAATGAGCTACTTGTAGGCTGGGAGGCAGGAGTGAGGAGGAGACAGGACATCACACCCTCAAGAAGGCCTTCCTCAAATTCTATATCCTCGAAACACTGGGCTCTGTGCTCGGTGTGGAGGGCAACAGTGGGAGGCCTGAGACGATGTGGGTGGGAAGGAAGGCAACCCCTGAAGATAAGACCCTGGAGAGGCAAAGGCCCACCCAACCAGATGAGGGATACTGAAGGTCGGGAAGGAAACACCACTGTTCTGTGGACTCACTTGGTAACAGTTAATGGGCACGGTCTGTTCTCAGTCTCCCCCTAACAGCTGAACTCACAAAGCTGCAGAGCCTTCCGCAACATCCTGGCTGAGCACCACATCCCTCTGCCTTTCTCTGCACCACCTCTTCCCCAGGACTGTCCTTGCCCTGGGTTGCCACACCACAGACTCTGGGCCTATCCTTTCCGCTTCCCATGCTGCCCAGAGGCGAGCCACCTCAACTTCTTTGCTCTCTCCAGCACTCAGTCCAGGGCCAGGCATATAGGAGATGATGCATAATCATTAATAAATGGACATGCTAATTTTATGATGTGAAAAATTGAAGACTTTTGGTCAAACGTGACAAGTGGATCAAAGGCATCTATTTCCTTCACCATCCAAGGTCTCGTGCATGCATGTTCAGTCATGTTCAACTCTTTGTGACCCCATGAACTATAGCTCTCCAAGCTCCTCTGTCATTTTCCAGGAAAGAACACTGGAGTGGGTTACCATTTCCTACTCTAAGGGATCTTCCCGACCCAGGGATTGAACCTACATCTTCTGCATTGACAGGCGGACTCTTTACTACTGGCACCACCTGGGAAGCCCATATCCAAAGCTCCACTAAGGAAGAAATAAAGGAATTACAAATTCTCCAGGGATAGAAAAAAAAAAAATGAGGCAACGTCAGCAGACAAGTGATTTCAACCAGTGTTTTGAAAGATGGAAAGCTCATACAGGAGTGTGAGTGACCTAGGGAGTACAGAGGAAGCCACAGTCTCAAGTGCCCGCAGCAGGGGAGACACATGAGCCAGGAGGGGAGCCCCCTGTCGAAGCCTGAGAGGCCCTGGACTTGGAGGTGCCAGGTGCTGCCGAAGGCAAGGAAGGGGAAAACAGGAGAATTGCTTAAAAGGCTGATTATCCACAGACACTGAACCAGGAAACCAAGCACAGCAGAGACCAAGGAAGAGTGGGGAGAACACAGGGCTGAAAATAAGGAGATGAAGGTAGAAATACACCTACTTCACTGGTCTTCAGAATGCTGGCAGCCAGGCGGGAGGGCTCCTCTTGATTAAGCTAAGTGGGCGCAGAGATGAGATGGCCAGATGCTGACATCTGGCGATTCCCTGATTAAGTGATTTCCCTGCAGATAAGTCAACAAGCTTCATCCACGCCTCTATCCAGAGCCTCCCATCAGCTTTTTATTACCTTGGCGTCTTAAATAGGAGCCAAGAGCAGTCAAGGAAGGGTCATTAGACATCGGAGGCTAAGTCTTGAACATGAATGGGAGATACCAAAATAAATAAATGGTGGGAGATAGGAGCAAAGGAGCAGACAAATTGAGGCTTGGAAAGTTAAGTGACAAGCCTATTTACACAAACTCAGTTAACAGCACGGCTAGGACCAGAAGTCCTGCATCCTCAGAATCATTAGGCCATGTTCTGACCATTTAAAAGGCTGCTCATCCTCTGAAGTCAACTCGTTGCTACCATCCAGTT